GTACAATATTTTGAACAGTTAAGTTTTCCTCTTTACCATTCTGAATATTGTTTCTGAACTGAATTAAATTACCTGAATAAATTTTATACATTCTGTCTTTTGGATAAGATTGTGTCAATTAAATAAAACAACCACCCTGAAGCGTCTGTCTTGTTTCAAAGCTTGTAATAATTTTTATGGGGTATTCAGTAAGTGAATAATGTTAACTCATGAAGCAAAAGTTAATATTAAATATGTTTTCAATGTGTTTTGTCTCCTCTTATTCTAAAAAAGACACTGGGAAAGTTAGATTATTTGATGACATTTTTCTGTTAGCTATGGTTATAATTTGTGTAATGTATATATTATATATATATATTTATTTACTATTAAAAAACTCATAAAGGTCTCCTTCTGTAAAACCTTTGACTTTTGTGTAGCCAGTAAAATATTGACAAATTATTCAGAGCACAAGTTAATGGTGCTTTTAATTCTTGTAATTAATCGTTTAGCCAGCAGGGGCGCTATCGTGTCAGTTAAGTTCCAGTTAAATGAAAGAAGAAGTCCAACTGTAGCGGAACGGTGTCTGTCAACACAGATTCAAGTCGGAATGTAAACTGTGTAACACGTGGGACTTCAGCGCTTTTTTTTTTTTGTAAAATAAATAAAAGGTCGAAGTTATATTTCTAACAACCGTAGCCATGAGATTATATCAGGCGCTTTTTAATGTCGACAAGTTCAGGACTTTTTTTGACTTTGGCGGACGAGAAGTGGCTCACTGGTTTCCAGGACACATGGCTAAAGGTGAACTCAGCTCCAGAATGTGTTTGTGCAAAAAAAAAAAATGTACTGCAGATGTGCGTGTTTATGAGAAGTAAACGCTCAGCTCTGTGGTAAAAATGCACTTGATTATAAGTTATAGTAATCGTGTTATATTTGCAGGACTCAAACAGATGACCGCCAGACTGAAAAATGTCGACTGTGTCATAGAAATACATGATGCCAGAATATCCTTTTAGGTGTAACTATTGAAATCATGTTGTTTTTTCACTGGAATTGTCAGAAGAGTTCTTCATCGCCTAAGCTGTCCGTGTAACATGTGCTGTCCCTCTGATATACTAATTTTAATTTGATTATTTTGTTCACCCCCAAAGAAAATCTTAATCATTTTTGCCACATCCAATTCTGCTTGCCATACACAGAGAGCCTCACTAACATTTTGTAAACCCTTTTCAAAGATATCCATCACCACAAACCACTCAGCTCCACCCTACCTGTTCTCTCCTTCCTAGTTTCCATTGATTTTCATTGGTTGACGCCATGTACTTGAACTCATCCACCCTTAAGACTGTCCTTGCAGCTTTACCTTTCATCCACATGTGTTCTGCTTCACTTCTACTGACTTTCATTCCTCCTCTCTAGATCATACCTTCACCTCTCTTGGCTCTCTTCCACTTGCTCCCTACTCTCACTATAAATTACAGTGTCCTCATCAAACATCATAGTCCACGTGCACTCCTGCCTGACCTCCTCTATCAACCTGTTTATCACTGCTGTGATTGAGAAGAAACTCTGTGTTGATCGTTGCTTAAATTCCATCATCACCTTTATTCCAGTAAACAAGGAATTAGAAAAGTCAGAGGTTTTATTTTCATTTCAGCTATCTACAAGTACATATTGAAACAAAAGCGTTCCTCCAGGATCACAGTGCAGATACAGAATAGTACAATAAATACAAACAGACCTAAAATGTCAGCAGCAGGATTGTAACAATGAACTGATCAGATCAAGGGGGACACCGGAGTTGAAGATTCACACAATATATGCTGCTTGAAACTCATTAAGGGTGATAAAGCACTTTACGATGTGTTTTTCATGTAGCCATACGACATTTTTATTCTGTTGAATCAGCGCAGTATCCTCTTTCATACACACAGATTATCAGATCATTTGACACAAACTGGACAGTTAGCCGACAGACAAAAACAGTTGTGTCTGGGCCCATAGTATTCCAAATTATCTTTGGGTTTATTTGTGCAGATGTGTTTATTCAAACATTAGTATCTTTAAAGGCCTTTCTCCATTGCAGGTCAGGTTGTCATTACTACAGATGTGTGCATTTGTAGTTCCATTTAGAACACTATGAGGTCTTTAAATAACCCACGAGGGCCCTAACAGGTTCATTTGAATGTTGCTTTTCTTAATATTTAGCAAATCCCTTTCTCTGGGAGAAACCCTGTCTTTCAGGATGCATTAAATGCCAGACCACATCTGCTTGTTCTAAACAAGATGGACCTCACTGATCTGTCCAACAAGCAGGTCAGAATATTTACTTTATATTCAGCAGTCACAGATAAACAGCATTTAAAACAAGTATATAAAAAATGTTTCCTTTGCATCCATATTGCAGATTATCTTGAAGAAACTAGAAAATGAGGGAGTGAGGAGCATTCTCTTCACAGACTGTTTAAAGCAGATTGACAGCAACGTCAAAAAGGTGAAGGTCATCTTCACTGTGTATTATACAATTGATTGGTTGAAATGAAATAAAACTATTATTGTATGATGGTGTTCTGATTTTTCTCGGTAGTTGGTGCCTATGGTGCAAGAAATAATTGAGACCAATCCCCGTTTTAACAGAGAGGAGGTATGCTTGTTCGGTACAAATTTTACAGACATATGAGTAAAAAAAAATCTTAATTTCGGACACATTTTATTTGTTATGTTTAGTGATTTTACTGTGCAAGTTTTTTTTATTATTATTTTTGTTTTAAGCTGTTTTTATTTTTCCTTTTCTTTTTTTGTATTTTAGTTGACATGCAATATATTTTACTTTATATATATATATATATATATATATATATATATATATATATATAAGCATTGTCAACCAGAAACACAAAGTCTGCACCTCAAATTCTTCCTTTACTTGACATCTTATTCTACTTACCGTAATTTTGCTCCCTATAACTCACGTTTTTTGCATAATTTACATGCCCTGCGACTTACATGCCGAAGCAACGTATTTATGGATTTTTTTCCCCCCATATTTATAAACCAATTTTTGAGATATGACTGTTTTCATTCATTCAGACTGAAAAAAGTTTGAACACTACCATTTTCAGCCACTAGATGGCACCAGAGTTGAAAGGCATGCCGTTGTATCATGTAATAGGTAAAAGTGGCTATTAATGACGCATTCAAAAAAATTCAAGACAAAAACAACTGGACATTATTTATTATACTTTACTTTATATTTTATTGTTTTTGTCTTGAACTTTTTTGAATTGACCATGTCCTGGATGACTGATAATCTTCACCAGCTATTAATGACACAATCGGCTTGCCAAAGCCTTCGTTCTGCTCGCTGCTTGGAGAAAAATCAGCTTCATTTCGCTGCACCGCCCCGGTGAAATGCAGCTTATTTGACCATTAAAGTACATTTATTAAGTAAAATTTCAACTGAGACACACCTTTTCTATAGTTTTGAGCAAACAAATAATTGTTTGAGGAGCTTATTGTGTTAAATTTTGAAGAAACACGCAGCCTTCCTCATTCTTTTTCTCCTCCCTGTCTGCGCGCTCCCGAGAGCACCAAGGCAGCGAATACTTTTGAAATGCAGCTGATTTGACCATTAAAGTGTTAATCTTGTTACATTTTTGTTAAGTTCCTCCCGTGCACTCTCCCGCGGCCGCCATTTGGTAGTCAATTGATTTTTGGCATAACACTGGCCCACGTTTCCGGGTTGTCAGCGGTGACGTATAATAGATGCGACGTATATGGCGAAGTGACATATTTATGGATTTTTCCACTTTATTAGACATATTTGGACTCATGCGACTTATAGGGCGGTGCGACGTGTACGGCAGAAAATACTGTTTGTTTTTTTTTTCAGTCATTTTCCTTTTTATTGTTCAGCTGTACAATAACAACAACGTGGTCCTGCTCTGATCTGATCATGTATAACTTTCAGAACAGAGATTTTTGCCTGATGGTGATTGGAGTGCCCAACGTGGGGAAGTCGTCACTGATTAACTCGCTGAGGAGAACAAATTTAAAAAAAGGTATCCAGAAGTGCTTGCATGTTCATGCCACAACATGTGGCCTCCACAGAAATGAAGTTAGAATTTTAACGACCGTTTCAGGTCGAGCATCTCGAGTCGGTGGGGAGCCGGGAATAACCAGATCTGTCCTGACTAAAATTCAGGTGTGTTCAGAAACCGTTTGGTTTTGACAGCTTTATGGAAACACAATAGACTCGATCAGTATTTGTGTGTGTGTGTCTTTGTTCTCAGGTGTGTTCGAGACCCATGATGTATCTGCTGGACACTCCGGGAGTGTTGCCTCCTAAGATTCAGAATATAGAGACCGGCATGAAGCTGGCTTTATGTGGTGAGCAGGACACAGTTTTTTGACAATCAATGCTATTGCTCAATAAATGTACTCAATAAATGCTTTATTTTTTAATCCAGGAACTATACTGGACCATTTAGTGGGTGAAGATGTTATCGCTGACTACCTTCTCTATTCTCTGAACAGGCTTGGCAAGTTTGGGTGAGATATTAAAAAAAAAAAAGGTTTTGCTGTTGATGTTGCTCAGATTCCTCACTGTGTCAATGTTTATGTGCAGTTACGTAGAGAAATATGACCTCCAAGAGCCGAGCGACGACATCCAGCATGTCCTTAAACGCATCGCCGTAAAACTAGGAAAGACTCAGAAGGTCAAAGCTTTCACTGGAGTGGGTGAGAAAAGGAAAACCGCTGCAACACGTCGTTTTATCGCCGTGTTATTTTTATTACTTCACATGTCGTTTGCTTCCGTGTTTGTTCATTTCACCGAAAATTCACGTTAATAAAATGTTTGTTCTTATGTCTCGTTCAGGAAACGTCAGAGTCACCATCCCGAACTACACAGCAGCAGCTTACGATTTTATCAGAGCGTTTAGGAGAGGAGAGCTGGGGCGAGTAATGCTGGACTGATATGAGCCATTTTTAAAATTTCAGGTGTTCTCAAATAAATAATGTTTGTGTCAGCGCTGAAACACGTTGCGCTGTAATTAAACTCTGTATCCTTTGTAAATAAAAGGTTCATTTATCGGCAAAGTTCACTTTATAAAACACCCAAAAGCAGACATTCTGTGTAAATGGGATATTTATTAGCATAAAGACAGGGATTACAAATAGTTTATTTATTATGTACACGTGTTGCAGAAATAATCGATTGCACTTCTAGATATGGAACAGTCTGGTGCTCCTGAGAGAGGTCATCGGAAGTTACGGACACATCAGAAATACAAAAAACAGGAATAAACGTAGAAAACCTGGTGGCCTGATAAATAATGTTCATCTATCAGTCTGAGGAGGTCATTTGATATGTTTCAGTAAAAGGATATGAAAAGAGGATTATGGGGAAATACGTGATGGTTGTCACCTTTATGACCATCAGGGACTGATACCAGAAATTATTCAGATTTAGTTGAAGATTAAATACAAACAGCTTTAATGGTTTCAGTTTGGTTTTACTGTTCAGCTGCGTTTCAAGCAAGTTGAGGTTTTCTGATAAAATCCAAGTCTTTAAAATGTGTTGCTGTAAGGTGCACAGAGTTCACTTTGCATCTTCTGTAGAAACAATAAAATTAGAATATCGTAGTACGAGTTTGGAAGTAAAAGGTACAGCGGAATTGAGTTTTTTGGTACATAAGGTAAAATAAATCACTTGACACAAGTGCTCTCCGTTAAGGTGAAAAGTGCGAGTGAATATGCCTGTCACAAAAAACAATAAATCAATCTCATGATAAATGAAAATTATCAACCTCTCTCATTTATCGGCTTTATCATTTCTTCCTGTCTCACTTTCTACTGAAGACACTGGATGACAACTCCGGTGCTCTTCACTGACTCCTCCCTTTCTCTTTAAAATCCCTTTTAACTGTCCAAAATTGCGTTTTTGGATTGTTAAAAGCAGCTAAGCTGAGAATATAAGCTAACAGGTTGACCTCTGGAAAAAAACTTCCTTCTTGTCAAGGCTCCGAAATTCATGGTTGAAACCCATGCCTTCGTGTAAAACGTTGTTTTTCTCTGCAAAAAGAAGCTGAGAACTTGTTTACTGATTTTTTTTTTTAATTAAAAGCTTTGTGTGAGAAATGCTATGCTAAAGAGCTCAAACCACACGTTGCCATTTTGAGAAACGAAAAAATGGGAGGAGAGACAGCCCATGTCACGTCAAGGGGCCTCCCTCCCATCCCTCACTATCCATCCTTCAGTGTTTTACTGCCATACAGTGGTCAAAGAAAAGTACTACTCTCAAAACAAATGAACCAACATTTCTTCTTAAAGTTGACAATAATTACTAATTATTGTCAAATTTCAAACAATATTATCGTTTATCGCAATAATTTCTGAGACAATTAATCGCCCAGCAAAATGTGTTATCGTGACAGGCTGGTACAGTAATGGACATTTACCCAAATAACAAAAACATACAGTACTGTGATGTCTGTGATTGGATCCTTCTAATCACTTCGTTGCACCTTACATCCTGGGTTTAGGCTTAGAAATTTCCCCTTAAAACGTAGGTGAAAATCTACAGCATATAGTCTAGTAAGAGTCCATATTTTGTGGGAAATGTTGCAATAATGATGGAAACCACTTGAGACAGAAAAGACCCGTTTTGAGTCGAGCTGGACATCAGTGCATCAAAGTAATTGGTCCTGTTGAAGTAGTCCAGCTCCTCCTCGGAGCTGTCCGTGTTGCTGCGGCGGTAAGCAGACGCGTACCATTTATCCGCCGATAAAGCCACAGCTGCGCCCGCCGCCGCTGCACTCGCCACTCTCACCGGGGAGGTCCGCCCTGCCGCCCTGAACCGGGAGCGAGTCCCCCCATAGGCGCCTCCTCCCCGGTAGGTCCCAGCTGTAGAGCTGCGCGAGGAGGACCCCCGAGAGGAGCCCCGGGACCCTCCACGACCGCCCTTGGACAGAGCAGGTTCACACAGGAACGCAGCGAGGAGGAGGCAGGTCCAGCATGTCGCCACAGCCTGGTTCATCCCTGACATCTGCACAAAGAAGGAGAAAAATGGGGTTAGCATCAGTTTTAGGAGCAGATGCAGGATGATGGTCCTCCAGGACCAGGATACAATACAAAATGTTGATCTGATTTTAGATGGCACGTCATTTTAGCTTTTGCATTAAAAAAAACATGAATTTACCGTGTTTATTACATTTTTCACCTGTAAGTCCATGAAGCAAATCATGTGATTAAATGTACCCAAATCGTATGAAGCATGCAAAAGTTGTTTCATGTGTTAATTTAACATGTTTTAGGTCAAATCATGTGATTGTTCTACATGTGACGTCCATGTTTTTTTTTTCCTTCCAAATCCACAAACGTTCATAGCATCACATTTTATGTAAGAGCCACATAAATGGTTAATTTTAAGTCAGATTCTTAATAATATTTTATTGTCATGTATAATATTCAGATAACACCTGAATCAAATATGCGTGACTGCACTGGATCAGTGATGGTGATGCTCACTGAGTTTCTTCCTCACTGATAAACATGTCTTGCGTTGCACATATTGGTGCACGCTCTTAAAATAGGTCACGTACAAAAGCCCAAATATGCTCAGAAAATAAATATTCGGTTGGTCAGGTTTTCATATATATTTATGACATTAAAATAAATTCCCAGCGTGATGATAAATAAAACAGTGGAAAAACATGAAATGGGCTACATGGTTGTATTTTCGCACGTAAATACCATTTTGGTGCATTAAATGTGAAAATAAAAGATTTAATGAAAGGTTTTATGCATGGAAAATGCAAATTGATCACGCATAAAATGATCATCTCTTGCATCGGGCCGTTCTTGTGCGAAATTCTGCTCCCCCGTGAAAATCTGTTCCCCCTGCGTCGGGAGCGCGCATTGCTGTCAGAGAGGCGGATCCGGCGGATCTGATCATTTTGACGGCGCTTCTGATCGATTTCTCAGTAAAACAACTCATATAATCATGTCAAGATTGTAACATTCAGTTTAATCGAGCTGCTGTTTAAAAAAGAAGCAATAATAAATTAGTAAAATGAATAAATAAACGCGGTCTTGTGCGGAGGTCTTCTTACGCTGTTTTCTGTTGTTATTTTAAACGCAATGAGAATCGCTCTTTCTCCAACCTTATAACTTAAGCCTGACAAATAAAAGTCAGTCACCAAACACACATTTCCAACACGTAGTGTTTTTATCATTTTTTATTCCCGATATAAGAGGAGGGAAACTGGCTGATAGGGAACCAACAGTTAAGACTGGAGACTTTCTGGTAAATGTCGTTCTAATGTAAAATATGACACATTAGTGGATTAAGGACATTTCTAGTATAGTACATACTATCACACATAACAATTTTTGAATTTGAAAACAGTTTCTCTTTATTTCCCAAAGTGATGAGGGAAGAGAGGAGAGAATGGATATTTTAGCTGCCTGAAATAATCTGTTCCCCCTCCATAACATGAGAACAAATTAATTTACCTGCAAGTCTTTAACTGTGTTTATTCCTTTCATCATCAACAATAAATACTGTAAGTTTGATAACATTTGCTCTTTATTTGCCAAAGTTATTAGGGGGAACCAAATATTTTAGCTGCCTGAAATAATCTGTTCCCCCTCCATAAAA